CTGAACTTTTGATTCTGCTAACTGGTTAACCTGTTTTACATTTGGTTTGTTAATGTGAGTTTTCAAAGATAATGAACATTACATTGTACTGCCCTGTCTTCCTGAAATGCTAAAATAAAACATTTTTAAGGTAAGATTTTTCCATTAAGGAATACATCATGCACATATGGAAGATTTTTAAAAGAAAAGAAGAACTCACCATAGACTCACCAAAGACAAATCACTACTGACGTTTAGTGTAGTCCCTTCGTGTTCCTTTTCTTTGCACTGTTTTCCATAGTTATGAGGGTATTATATATACAACTCTGTTCCATTTTGTTCCAATAATATAATTGTTTCCTATTACAAAACTTCCTGAGTGTCATTGTTTGGTGCTATGCTAAATCAATTATGTGGCTCATCTGTTACTGGTTTCGTCAAACTCCAATGTTTGCTCAACTTAAAAAGTATTCCACATGATGGCTTGGTCTGAGATTGGTTGGTGTCTGTTTTCTATTAAAATATCCCCTATAGGACAGCCTGTAACATTATCCAAGCTGCTAATAAGTCATAATAGCTGTACCAGTTCTCTGATGAGGCCTCAAGAGACCACATTAATAATTGAAAAGAAAGGTGTAATCATCTTTATCTTGAAATCTCCCCTCATCTTCAATAGTAAACTTGCTAATAATTCTTTCTTCCCGGTATTTTTAGTATGATTAATCTGTATATGTTTATGTACATATATATTTTTTGTGCATGTGAACTTGTATACATATAATTATCTACATCTTTAGTTCCAGATGTTTCTTTCAGTTATCCGACTTAGAGTCCACTGACTTCGCAAAATCACTACATAAACAACTAAACTCGTTATTTTTCTCAAGTAAACTTCTTGCCTTCTTTTGTTTCCTACAGAAGAAAGATGTAAGGTCCATGCACCATACCTACCACCAAAAACAGTTTCCTAAGACATGGATAAAGAGTCCTAATAGATTTCTTGTCCTCCTTGTCTTCAGGAATCAGACAAATTCAATATTTCCTCCTATCTAGCATCACTGTTAATTCATTCTAACGCTCCAGGCCCATTGTTACTGTTTTTCTTTGTCTCTCACTATAGATCATCTGGGATTCAGCTAGGATGTCCTAATCAATCTTCTCTTCTTTAGTTTGTCCCATTCATCCCCTCCATTTCTCCTGATAAAAGATATCTACATCCCAGATGCTTCACAATGCCTACTTCTACTCCAAGATACACTTTAGCTTTTGAGTTTTGCAAGAAACCTCTGTATCCTTAAAATCAATTGTCACCTTGTTAAAAAAACCAAACTAGCTCAACAGTTTCTATTAGTTGCAATCAGAAGATGTTGAATTAAGGTAATCTGAAGCCAAGGAGCATTTTTTTTTTTTCTGAAACACTTATGCAAACACCAATACCACCCTCTCCTTGGCCTTGTTTGTATTCCTTGACCTATAAAAATTCATTATTCCTACAGGCCTGCTGCACTATTTATAAACAACTTTACTAATCTGTGCACAACTTAAGAACAAAGAAAACATCTTAGGCATGTTTACATCACTCCAGTGTCCATGATAGTGCAGGGATATGGGAATGTTGAACTCATTTTCCTCATCACAGAGTGTAATTTGATAACCTACAGACTGAATTTTACATGACTAAGTATTACCTTTGGCCCACATGAAGAACTTCTTAGTGTGTGTCTATATGCATAAAACCTAGCATTTTTGCTTATTTTTCTAAGGATAAATTTTAAGAATCCAGTCTATTGATTTCTTTTCTATTAGAGATGGTCATTTATTTGGTTCATATTTCCACATGTTTTGTGAAGGAGCCAGGTCAAGCATTAATCAAAGCACTTTCATAGGCACAAAGGAGCTACAATTATAATATCAGTCCCCACAGTTCCACTAACAGTGCACTCCCCAAAGCCATCAATGATTTCTTGTTAAGTGCAATGCACATTTGATTTTTCTCTACAGTTTTGTGTTGTCAACTGATTCCTTCTTGAATTTCCTTTCTTATTTGTGGGGACTTGACTCCTTGATTTTGACTACTTTTTACCTCCTTTTTGTGCTTGTCTTGTTCAGCCTTGCTCAATGGTTATCTTTTCCTATTTTACCATTCCCTAGACTTTTAATTTTTAAATATAGGGAAGGATGCTAACTCACTTAAATCAACATTCAAGGCTATGATTTATCTCTAAAATTTGCATTTTAAACATGTCTTTCTTAAAACATTTTTTAAAGTGTATTATTCTTATTTTATGTGTATGGGTGTATTGCTAGCATGTGCGTGCACCCGTGTCATGCAATGACTCAGAGGTTAGAAGAGGGCTTCGGATTCCCCTGGAACTGGAGTTAAAGATGTTTTGTAGCTGCCATGTGGGTGCTGGGAATCGAACGCGGGTACTCTGCAAGAGCAGTCAGTGCTCTTAACCGCTGAGCCATTTCTCCAGCCCCAAAGTTGCATTTTAATACTTCTCTTAACATCCCAATTTCAAGTTCAATGTATTTTAAAAAATACTTGGCACTTTTAATCCCCAAATCTCACAGTAACAAAAGCATAGCTACATAAAATTCTTCCCTTCATTCTGTATCTTCTCTTTTCCTGAACCTTCCACAGAGATGATCATGCCAGAAACGTGTGCCTGTTCATTCCTTCGCCATCAACTATATGCAATCATCAAACTGTACCAGTTTCTCAACACTTGAAGAATTGAATAAGGACTTCTAATCTAATTCTCTTAATGTTTATCTACCTCAATTTTATTTTATATGAATCATCTATAAATGATTTACAATAGGGCTGGAGAGATGGCTCAGCAGTTAAGAACACTGGCTCTTCTTACAGAAGACCCTGGTTCGAATCCCATCACCCACATGGCAGCTGACAACTGTTCGTAACTCCAGTTCCAGGGGATCGGACGGCCTCTTCTGTCCTTGCGGACATTGCATGACATGGGTACACTTACCTACATGCAAGCATAACACTCAAACACACAAAATAAAAATAATGAATGAAATATTTTTTAAAAATGATTTACAATAATCTGTAATTGTAGAATGATGAATCCAGTTAGAAACCACTGGACTTCAGTCCCTGTCCTGGCTAATGCCACCCACAAAAAGGGCTGCTGGGAGGCCTAGGAAGGAAGACAAGGAGAAAGGGAGAACGTGGTGGTAGCTTTTTTGTTTGTTTGCTTTTTAAACAACTACTGTTTCCAGGTCATTTTCTTGGTGTTACCTCTGCTATTTCACTTTTACATTGTGACATTTGCTTAATGCCTTATTTAAACTGATTTCTTGGACATTTTCCAACTGTTAACCTCCCTAGAAAAGAAGAAAATTTCTTATCATTGCTAGACCTTGTCAGAGTGCATTAGACTATGCAATGGGCAGACTCTGCAGGCCCATACCAATCAGGTGGTTTGTGAAAATAACATGGAACTCTGTTTCACTTCAACTCAGTGAAAAGGAAAAATCATTCACAACTCATTTTGGTCACTCCATTAAAAGGATAAGGAATGCATGCATATTTTGAATTAATGCTCCAGTAAACAGTATTAAACTGTCAAGTAAAACAAAGAGTTGAAAGTGTTGGCTAAAGTGAATTTGGTGTTGTTTTGAGCTACCACACTTCCATAGGCAAGTGGATAGACATCTGGACCCAAGTATCTGTATTATTTGGGAATTATACCTTTTAAACATATACAAATATACATATACATACACACATACATACATGTATGTGTATGTATATCATATCATGCCATGATCATTTCTACCATTACGAAGAACAGAAGAAAACTGCTCCGTGGTAAACCGCTGAGCTCCTACTTGCTCTTGCAGAGGACTGGCCTGCGTTTCCAGCAGCCACACCAGGCTGATCACTACCTCCAGTTCCAGGGAATCCTACACCTTCTTCTGGATTTCACAGGCACGTGAACTCATAGGTGCACATACCCCCCATATATACACATAATTAACAATAAAATAAATAGGAAGGAAGGGAGGGAAGGAGGGAGGGGAGAGGGAGGGAAGAGGGAGGGAGAAAAAGAGAGGAAAAAGGAAAGAAGAACGAAATAAAGAAAAAAAGAAACTGCTTCTTTTCCTTAGTCAAAATGTTTCCAGTCCCACATGCCCATATCCTGCAGAAGTCGCTGCAACTCAGGAACACTAGCTCTGTCCCCAACAGGCTAAGCCATTTGACAGGTACCTGAACTTGGGATCCTCAATTTCCTGTAAGATGTAGAAAATAGATTAAGCAACCCCTAGGTTCGCCCCCATTCTCCAATCTGTCGGTCTTCATTGCCTTGCTCCTGAATGAGTAAGAAATGGACTGCGTTCTGGTGTGCCCATGGTGCGGGTTAGACTGGTGAAGCACAAGAGCGATCCCCTCTGTATTTCACAGAGTAGGGACAATTTTCCAAACAATGGCACAACCTGCTTCTGAGTGGTTCATGTGATCCTTAGGGCTAAGTATGGTATGCTCAGAAAACAATACAGCAGTCCGCCTTGACATTAAGATTTGATGTGAGATGAAGATTCCTTGACAGTATTCCGGACATGGAGAAAAACGTTTAGGGAAAGGATATCTCCACAATTCAATAGTGAAATAGGGGCCCCAAACCTCCTCACTGGACCGCCTAAGGATCTCCACAATCTCCTCTGCGCTGAGAAATCAACCAAGAAGTTGGCATTGGGATCACCTCTCCTCTGGAGCTGAATCAAACGTCCCAGGTGCACACAGGTACAACCGGCCGAAACAGAAGAGGCTCTGCCTCATCTTCAGCAGGCAGCGGACCAGCCTAATCCCCACCCCGTCCTCCCCCGAGCTGCCCTTGGGGAACCGAGACCCACTCGAGCCCGCTCGGCAGGTCCCGCCCCTCGCGGCCCCGCCCCTCACCTTGCTAGCGCCTCGCTCCGGCCGCGAAGGTGCGTGCGGCGGGCGCTGATTGGCGGAGGCCCGCGCTGCGCGGCTGCCATTGGCTGCTCGGGATTCTTTGTTCCAGGTCCCTGCTGCCGCAGAACCGGGTGGCGGAAGTTCGAGGGCGCCGGGTGAGTGACTTGCGGCGGCGGCGCCGGAGTCCCCGCAGCCGAGATCGCGGACGTGAAGCCCTTCCGACGCTCCAGCATGGACCTGGAAGCCAAAATGAAGAAGGTGAGCGGCGCGGCCGGCCTCACCTGTGCGTCCAGCTCCTGGTCCCCTTGGGGTGGACCGCGGCCCTGCGGACCCCCGCCCGGCTGTCCCCGCGCCTGCGGCGGGAGCTGTTTCAAACTTTCGGGAAAGCCTTCCAGCCTCACCTCCCCCCGAGGCCCGGGAGAGGTCTAGGCGGGTGCGGGCGGGACGGTGACCGACGCCCCTTCCTGTCTGGGGAAGCTCAGCCCAGGCAACTGGTGTGGCTCTGGGAGCGGAGGTGGTGACAGCCTGGACTCCCGAGGCTGTCTAAAGTGGGTGCTGATTAGTGCACTTCCTTCACAGCCGCGCCCGCTGATAACTTCTCCAGTGCTGACTTTTGGGAGTGAGTGTATGTGTGTGTGTGTGTGTGTGTGTGTGTGTGTGTGTGTGTGTGTGTGTGTGTGTGTAGCGATTATCGCCGGTGCTTAGTGGCCCCTCTGGGGAGCACTGTCCTGACTGTTCCTTGGCGTCAGGGCTAATGGCCCTACCTGAGGAGCTCAAGCTCACTGGGAGTCTAAGGTTGCATGGGAGAAAGAGGTGGCGACCAGATTATGACTCAAGAACGCTGATGTCACATTCTAGTGCAACATTCGACATTAAAGGTCTTGTTCCAGGGAACTGCGCCTGTTTACTTTGCAGTAAATTTAAACTAGCGGTCATTTATCAAATAGGGAAGGAAGCTGTGCAGAGAGAGAAAGAAAAGTAGAGAAAACTTAGTTTTCTTATTCTGCTTGCCAATATTATTTTTATTTCATCTTCTCTAACGGAATGTCTGCCTTGAGTTGAGCATTAATTCTATTTTCATGACCAGAACTGAATTTTTGAAATTGTATGCAAATGGAAAGTATTGGGCTAGGAAGCTGTTGACCAATAAACATTTTCACTGAGGAAACAGTTCCTTGGTCCCTTATGACCAAAATCAGCACTTGGAAGGGAAGTCAAGAACAGGAAAACATAAAAAACATTCAGAGTACAGTAATTCATTCTAGTCTCTTCACATTTGATCTCTTTTTTTATTCTAACATGTTTTCTAGCTAATCTTACTTGCCACTTAGAAAAACATTTTATTCTCTGTGTACTTTCCTGTTGGTAAACATTGTACTCATTTTGGTTTTCATAAGAAATATTTCTTATTATCTCTAATGTAAATTATGCATTTGTCTCAAATTTGGGAGGCCTTGTGTTATGAATACTGAATTGAAGACTACTTTGTAAAGGTAGAAATTCTCTAGAAGTAGGGAGGGGTGTGTAGGCAAAGGACAGGATTTTTAGGGTAATGACACTATTTTGCATGATACTATCCTGGTGGGTGTGTCACATATTTGTCAAAAACCACAGGTTATAGAATAGCAGAAGTGAACCCTAATGTAGACTCTGAAGTTTGGAGATAATGATGTGTCAGGTGTTTCATAAACTGTAATAAATGTCCTGCTCTGATACACAATGTTGATAGTAGGGGAGGGCAGACATATGGGGAAACAGGCCATTGGGGAACTTTGTGCCTCTGCTCAGTTTTTTTGTGAAGTAAAACTACTTTTGCAAAACTAGTCTACTAAAAAGAAGTGTCTTAAAAACAGTAATTCTGAGAGGAAAATGCCAAAGTTAAGAATTATATGTGTTTGCAATGTAGAAAAAAAATCAAAATATTTAAAGGCAGTTTCCTGAAGACTGAGTTGTGATAATGCTTTTGACATCTGATATAGTTTTCTTCCTCCATCACCCATTTACTTTAAAAGGATATCTTTCCAACCAAGCAGTCTAACCCTCTGTATAATCTTACTCTACCCCAAGAGAAAAAGGATTTCAGGAGTTTAAAGGAAGTGAGATAAAACCTAAGCATTAGTAAATCCACCCTTCACTATGTTGTCATTTCTGGTGGATCTCAGAAGAGTCTTCTATCAGTAAATTGAAAGTGACTGAGACCCCAAAGGTGTCCTGTTTGACTGCCAACCACATCCTCTCTCTACCTTTGTAGGAACCCAGTAGACTTGTTTCTCTGTGGATTGAATAAAAAGTTCCCCAGTACAAAACAATTTGAAGATTCTAGGAATCCATTTTACAGCCTTAGTTTAAAAAAAGAGAAAAAAAAAAGCTTTGTTTAGAAATTGTTTTCTAACACACTTGAAGAAGCATTACTAGACTATCTCCTACTTACCAACAGAACTTCTCACTTTATTTTGGTATCTAGATAATTGTCAATATATGCTTGGGTATATAAGAAAGTCAGTAGTTTGAATGTACCTTGAAAACAAAGGCAGTTTGCAAATGGAAGTATAGAATCACTTAATAAAAATCAGTTTGACTGCCTTAAGATGTATGGCATTTTTCCCTTCTAAAGCTCTTACATTTTCTCATTCAGAAGGAATTTTTTTCTAGGCAGATGGAAAATGTTATTTATTTCCTATTAGCATTTCCTGTGAAAAGAATTAGAGGGTTGCCTTTACTTAGGTGGATGATACTGTTGTAAGATTCTTGGTTTACAAAAGGAGAACTTCACCATGAACTTGTCCTTGGATTGATTACCAGTTAAACCCTACTCTTATAAGCACAGGGGTTTTTATAATTAGGTTTTGCTATATTTTATTTGTTTGAAGTAAGTGAGCTGTTGCTAGGATGTTTTTGGCTATGCAGAGTTTTAATGATATTTTAGAGTATTTGACTTTTATGTCCATGCCTTGCCTTCTGAATTATTCATCTGGATCTCTTCTTCGTATCTCAAGTCTCTCATCATAATTGACTTTGTATAAGTAAAATCTGTATCTGATTGCAAGAAAACAATGGCCTTTGAGCAGCAGAAACAGCCTCACTTTTGTGGTGAATGGTAAATCGTGGCCCATCCCCAGCTGTTTCCCTCTTTGCTTTCTGTGCTACTCTCCCATGAGAGTCACTTTTTTATTCTTCAAAACATACCAGGGAGAAAGAAAACTCCAGTACTTTTCCTTATACTTCCCAGAACTGCTGCAGGACTTTAATTTTACTATATTTTCTATTTTTTAACCTTTTTTCTAACCTCATTAAAAAAAAAAATCAACCTTTACATTGTGCATGCATTTATTCATAGTCTTTGCTTCTTTGATTTTACTTTTAAAAAGTGAGATGCATCTTAAATATACATCATGAAAAAAAGTCCCCTCTCTGTGCATCCAATTTTGTTTTTTTTTTTAACTTTAGTTATTAGCCAAAAAACAAGTGCTGGAGTTGGTAAAAACTTCAAAACCACAGAGATGATAATCATTGGAAATAAGAGTGATTTCTGTTCTCATAGAAAGCTCCTGAGTGACGTGAAGAATCAAGTTTGAGGAGACCCAGGTGCTCATATGCACAGTTAGTTTCTGTATGTGAAGCCTTTCTTGGTTGAAGAAGCGTCCAAGCCACGTTTGCTGTAAGAGTTCTTGCCACAGAAGGGAGCAGAGGGAGGGCAAGGCATATTTAGAGCTTTGATTTAGAGGTGGAGGCTCTGACTCAGAAGACCTACAGAAGAAAATGAAGAGGTCCTTAGCTAGGCATTTATTACTTCTAACCTGTGTTGTGATGCAGTACATTGACTATGTGAAGTCACTTTCTCTTAGTTGCCCTGATTAGTTTGATTAAAACTGTAGTGGGCTTTCTATTGATTTTGTTCTTGTATGCTGTCCTATGCAATAGATTTCAGAAATTGTAACTCTACTGGTAGTTAATATTGTCTTAGTTTCTTTTCCTGTTGCTATGACAAATACCCTGACTAAAGCTACGTAAGGGAGAAAGGATTTCCCCTGTCTCACAGTTCCATTTGACATAGCTGGTCTCACTGCATCCACTATCAGGAAGCAAAGAGCAATGAATGCATCCTGCTGTTCAGCTCCTCTTCCCTACTTACACAGAACAGGATTCCAGCCTAGGGAAATGGTGCTGCCCAGAATGTGGAAGTTTCCACATCGATGACCCTAATCAAGATAATCCCCCACAGATATGAGACCCATCTCCCAGGTGATTCTAGAAGTTGTCAAGTTGACAATAATACTAACCACCACAACTTTCACAACAGCTCACTTCACACAAAACAAAATACAGCAAAGCCTAATTATAAAACCCCCTATGCTTTGATAGTAGGGTTTAATTGGTACAATATATGATGGACACTATTGCAGTTTAATCAATTTCTTTTTGCCTGTAAAACTCTCTCATAAATTCCTTTTCACATTCCTGTTATTTTGTAGACTTTATCTCTGAAATTTACATGAGGGGTGTACATAAAACTTGGATAAAACACACAGACTGAAAACCATACAATGCTAACTTCATCAGAATAGAAAAATCACTTCCTCAAATATAATTTATTTAAATAGGCAAGTGCTTCTCTGAGAATGAGGATAGTGCTGGTTTTTTTTCTTTCTTTCTTTTTTTTAACAGACCAAACCACCCTAGTGATTTGAAATTAGGACAGGTTAACATTACGTTAGCATCCAAGACAAGTAAATATCTGTATTATGGAAAGATTACCTGTGTATCTAGACTTTCTCCCTTCCTTATCAGTATACCTTTCATATGACACTAGGCTAACATGGATTTTAACTTTCATATGTGTACAAAGAATCAATATGAAAAACAGATGATTTCTAAAGTTCTAAATCCTGTGATTCTGGTTGTGAAAAATACATCAGCAGTCTACTAAGTATAATGTTCTATGGTACTTAAAAATCACAGATATCACCAGGGCTGGAGAGATGGCTCAGCAGTTGAGAGCACTGGCTGCTCTTGCAGAGGATCTGGCTTCAGTTCCCAGTACCCACATGGCAGCTAACAACCATCAGTAACTCCAGTTCCAGGGGGGGCCAACACCCTCTGCTGCCCTCTTCAGGAATTGCATGCATGTGATACATTTACATACATGAAGGCAATACACTCATTTACAAAAAATAAATTTAAAAAAATTTTTTAAATCATATAAACCATGAATATATAAATGAGAATGTAAATGCATATACATATGACTGCATGAAGTG